CTGTGTTTAGTTAAAGGCATTAATTAAGGTGATCTTACTAGGGCTTCACTTTCAAACCTTGTTTCAAAATTGAAACAAGGAATGAAAAATATGACACTTCTACATAGAGAACCAATCTCTTGACAAATGAGGGCCACTTCATAATAAGAAACTCTGAATAGGATTTTCTCAAGACTACATGCAAGAAGTGTAGGGCAGCTCATCTCACCTACTTCTCACACTTCTGAGATCTGCAAATCAGAATAAGAGAGCAAGTTGTGCATAAGACATAATTCAAAGTCACAGAACAATAAAAGTACAGAAGTTGCTGGCACAACCTACCAATAGCTACTTAATAGAATAGTTAGAAAATACTTTTATATTTCCAGTGCTATTCAAATTGTACTACAATAGCCAACACAAATAGGCATTAAAAGTATAACAATAAACCAACTGGTGAAAGATTTTATCTCGTTCATAATAAAGCAGGAAAAGTTTTTACTCTTTTTTGATTTGTTAACACTAGCTTTTGATGAGACTAATAAAAATAATAGAAGATATATACAGAGTCAACATCAATACCAATTAATTTGTAAAAAGAATCAAAACAATTACCCTTTCTTAATAAAGTTTTAAAAGTAGAAGTAACATACATAAAACTCAAATGAGTTAAATTAAATTTGACTATATATAAAATGGTCTGTGTACTTTATGGTTACTACTACATCAGCTTTCCTGTTTCATGTCTATCACCAGACTCAAAGGAAACAAACCTCAAAGCCCAGCCATCCTTCTGCTGTCCTGGGACCAGCACCATCAGTTCAATTACAAGGCCAAATTCAACCAATTTTGGTGATACTGTCAAAAGCTAACTGATTAAAGTCCCAGCAGTGACCACATATACACCTTGCAGGCAACTCCCTTTCTCCTTAATTCCAGGGAATAGTATTTTGGAATTTAACTCCTTACCCAGTCATGTTTATGAAAGCTGTATGTACCTACTCTAAAAACCTCACAAGTCATTTTCTCGAGTCTCTTTATAAGCCTATTTCTTATATAAATTATTTCAATATATGTTGATATTTTCAGTAGCAAGGTGCCAGAAACTACATTCAATTTCTGAGGTACAGTAGAACCACTTCTAAACAGGACCTTTCCAATAACCAGCCTGAACATTATTTAACAATTTAGTTGGTCTAAAAGCAAGAGTTCTTTTATGCTTTCTCCTCTATAAATATATAAAAAGTCTTGAGGATTTGTTATAACTATACATCAGTGGGAGTCCTCAGATCTTTTTTTCTTCATAATAAAGAGCAGTACTTCAGTTTTTACCAAAGAAGCTTTCTGAGGGAAATGGGCTCAGTAACTTACTTCATTCTCCACAAAGTCAATCACACAGCTGCAATTTACCTTGCACCACAATCAGGAAATGCTGGCTCTGTGCTCTCCCTCCAGCCTAGCACTAGGCTTTGAAATCTTAGGAGCTCAAGTCAAAAACTTAATCTAATTTATTCTCTGTGGATATTTTTTTCCTAACCATAAAGGAAACATTACACAATTACTGGTACAGAGCTGAAAACACAGCTCAAAGCTGCCATCTCTAGGTATTATGTTCTACTGCTCTTCACTCTAAATTATTTTTTCTGGTTTTTTTAAAGAGACTGAAGATCTAAAAGGAAAAACATCAGAACTTTATCCTAACAAGTTAATGTAAGAACTTATTCCAGAAGGGCATACTTTTTCCCCTTGAAATTTCTTTGACTTGCATGATGAGCTCCTTTTGTCCCGGGTAACTTCTGGCATTTGACATAATCACTAGTACATGCAGCATAGGAGTTAATTATTTCACATAGGTTCATTATCAGTGAATCCTAATTGTTAATTAGCATATGTCTGCAACAGCAGCCACAGCTTCTTCACTATACCTTTGCTTGCAGCTTTCATTATTATTAACATGAGTTGCACTTCTTCACTGAGATCCAAAGAGACGTCTGAATTAACACAGAGCTATCTTATTTTAATATTTGCTGGTGAAAGGGCTTCTAAAACAGTTACCCTTTAGTTTGGAATGTCTCAAGAAAATATTAGCACTGTCAAATAAAAAGGTTACATTATATTTTAAGCCTTTATTCTGAACTGCTAAATGATACATTACTCAAATGTTTCTTGACTAAAAAAGTCCACATTCTACAAGAACTGTAATAATCAAAGTCACTGGTCAAAAAGATCTGACCTTTCAAAGAACAGATAAGACATTAATGAATCAGGGAACTGACAGGAAGAAAAGCAAGCTTTGAGTTCATGTTAGGGCATACACAAAACCTAGTTATATTACTACTGAAAACGCCTCTACCATATTGACCATGCCACACATAGATTCAACATCACTAAAAACAACAGATGCCACAAAAACAAGACAAAAACAAAATATCAGCCCATGCCTTCAATTCCTCTTAACTTAGAGGAAGCACTCACTATAGAAAAGAAGACCAAATGTAAAAAGAAACTAAAATGTACAACTAAAGGGGTAAGATCTTTAAAATAAAAATATGAAAAATGTGAAAAAATGAATTCTAAGACTTCGTAAGACATTTTTGCTCAGATTACAAGAAACCTTCCTATTTGAAAAAGAAAACAAAACTTTTCATTACAAATAACAAAATAAATAAAGTTTAATTTAACAGAAGGATAATGGAAACCCAGAAGAAAAAAGTAGAGTTCAAAACAAAGTTCAGAAACTCCACCAGATTAAAACAGAGACCCACACCAAGGCAAGCAATGAAACACCTAAATGAGATGCCTTCAAAATTTATATATGGAGTACTAAGACACTTTTCAAATGCATTAGCAATACACTTTTAGATACTTTGTGTTGCAAACAGACTGAAGGAGTATTCTGAGTAGTGAAAGCCATAGCAATAAAATGAGGTTAACTTTCCAACATGAATTCTTCATGGTAGACTTTACAGGTATTTCTATACCGAAAAACTAGAAACAGAAAGATGCAGTAGGAAAAAAAACACCTAACCTGGCAAAATAAGGTCCCTGGAATCAGCTCTGAAGAAATTAAAGAGCTAACCCCTGTCTGTAGTATATAAATTCCTGCTTAAAAATGTGTCCATACCCAAGGACTGGTAAGAGAGAGGCAGAAAGGACAGAATTCAGCAAGTGAAACAGACAAACAGATGAAGAAAAATTATATGAATTTTTGAAAAAATTAAGTTATATCTTGCAAATAAATACAGCATTGGCTTTTTCTGAAGAAATCAAAGGTCCAGATGATACATGTACCTGAAATTTCCAAAAGATGCTTGATAATATTCCTTGTGCCCTAAAGGAGCTAAGATGTTCTGGAACAAGGAAAGGAGACAAGACAAGGCTAATTAAGTCTATAAAGTAAAGTTTGGGGTAAAAAATAGTCACTTCTTAAGTGAATAAAGTTCATTACTGGTGTCCCACAGACATGCACAACTGGGATTTGCTATTTCAATATGTTAAAAACCAAGCTGGCATGGGGATAAGTGGAAAAACAGCAATATTTTTTGACTTATTTAAAATAGCTGAGACAATGGTCAAATGCAAATAATTGCAGAAGAATCTCCTAATACTGCATGTGCAATGCAAGAAAAAAACCTAAAGAGTAAATAAATGCTAATGTGCATAAGGATGAAAAGACACCTTACACGAAAAACCAATTTAAAATCTATAAACATATGGGGGGATGGGTTTTGAATTGTCTAGAATGAGACATGGATGATGTAACTGACAGTTCTGTAAAACTACCAGTCCAAAAACAATAGCAGATTTTCAAAAAGCTAAAGTACCCTAAATAATTATTAGGAAATAAATTAGACCCTGAATTCCCTACAATATCAATGTCTGAGGTAAGAAGTCACACTAAAGACTGATTCCTCCTTTCTCTAAAGGGATATAACAGAATTAGAAGAGCTAAAGGCCATGATATAACATTATTCAAGGTATGAAATATCTTCCTTCTAGAAGATTACTAAAAACACAAGGAATTTTCAGTATGAAAAAGAAATGGAAGAGAGTGTGATGGCCTTACAGAAAATCATTAGTAGTATGAGGAAATAAATGGAGAATAAGAAGTAGGGACTATCAAAATTAAACCAGCTAGTACCAGTTTCTGAAAAGGTTTTATTTCTCAAAAAAATATTCTGGAATTCTTATGGACAGGATGATGTCAATTTTAAAATAAATACATGGTCCAAAAATTGAAAATAAATAAATAAACAAACAAACAACAGGGATTCATAATTTTTCCACAAAAATACTATCCTATTTTATGAAATCCCAGCTGCAAAGTAGGACAGTATTCTGAGGAAGCTGCTGTAAGTTCCTGTCATTTTTTCTTATACTCTTCCCTAGGCATTCACTGTTACCCATTATTCAAGAGGTGTTATCAGGTGAGATGAACACTTCGGTCTGACTGGATACAATCCTGTTTGTCCTACCCTGCTGGGGGTGCCTTATGCAAACGAATTAAAACTTGTGACACCAATTCCATATTTCTCTGTCACATTTACCAAGTTTGTCACCCTCTGTAGCTCGTCTCCCTGACAGCCCCCTCAGGCTATGCTGGAGCCTTCTCTCCAGTCCTGTCTCCTTGTGCTCCTGGATTCCCTGAGCAGTCCCCATGCCTGGCAGTGGTGCTGCCAAAGGACCCTGCTGCCAGCAGTTGGCTCTGCCTGTGGGGTTCAGCCCCTGGGGATGGTGCCTGGTGAGCAAGAGCACTGCCCACAAGCCCCATTATATCTCACACACACACCTCTGCCTTTCATTGGCAGGTTTAGCTCGGAAGATTAATGGTCACCAAAGTGATTGAGAAGTATTGCACAATCTCTGTTCCAAAAACCGTGCAATAATGTCACTTAAAACATTAATACAAAATATTTAGAAATTTAATTATCCTCAAAAGTCTCTGTTCACAGTGACTCATTTTAGGATCACTAACAGCACACACATATAAATTACTATACAGAACACTGAAGAGTCCAAACCTGATACAAAGCAAGCGTGTGTCCGTATCTCTGGAGTGGCCCTTTGGATACAGGCACTACATTCCATATACTGCTTTCCAAATTGTAGCTAGAAGAGAAATAGAAAAAAAAAACACATTTTCAACCAGTTGAGAAAATAGAAGGGTTTGTATGTTCAAACTAACTCCAACTGACATGGCAAATTGTTAGTGGGGCAACATGATCCTTTGAACAACAGTGCACTGACTTCTGACAGTGCAATAAATATTCCTCAAGCAGCACAGGAACAGCTCTTTAAGGGACCCATCAACAATCTCAGAAAATAGGAATAACTAACAAAAATCACAAGACTTGTTCTATTATCAGTCATGTAAAAAACCCACCCCACCAAACTGGTCATGCCCCATGCTTTTGCACTACTCTGAAGATTTACTGTTGGGCACCCTCTTCACTATATGGTTGATTTTAATTTCTCCTATATTTTAATTAATTAACTAATGCACAGCATTAGATAAGAGAGGTAAAAAATAAATGACAAAGGTAGAAAAGAAAAATCTAAATGATTATGGGATTTGTTTTGGATGATTGCAAATGTGTGGAAGAAAGCAACAGATAGACAACAGCAAGAGAAATAAACGCTAATAATATGCTAACAAATATATACAAACAGTTGCATTTGCCACATTTAGGGCCTCTACATATGAAGTTCCCAACCAAATCACCTGGGTCCTGTTAACAGCTGCTTCAACTTTGTTTTCAGTAGGTGGTCAAATACACACACATACAAACTGCCTTAAGTATGAAAAAGTGGAATACAGATGACCTTGCTGACCCGACTAGCATGGCACCAGCAGGCAAAGTGCAAGCACTAAATACAAATGTCTTGTAACCATAAATTAACATCAAAAATGGATATAAAATTCAAAACATACTGTGTGAAAATATCAGCAGTGAATTTCTTTCACTGTTCTATCACCACAAAGCTCTTTATGTTTTGCAGTTTTTCACCAAACTGAAGTACATATAAATATCACCCACAGTTTGATGTTGCCCATATTTCCACTTTCTATAATCATAAGAAAATTCCAAGCATAAAATAAGACCATTAATAAAGAATCTGAAAGGGATATAAACCTTTAAGCTAAATTAGAAGCTCCCTCCCTGGTAGGATCTGTTTTTCCTAAGCCCCATCAGAAAGGACATGACAAAGGAGAAATCACTCACTTCAACACCATCTGGAATGAGCTGTAGTTGAAGGTGTATCCACCAATCACCCACATGAACTTCCCATGCAGGACAGCCTTGTGGGAAGCACGGCCCACAGAGGGGCTGAAGGGCTTCACATTGGGCAGAATCCAGTAAGACTCCGTGGAGGGGACGTTCAAAGAACAATCTGGACCTGTTTTGTAAACAAATGTGCAATTTGTACAATCTGTTAGACGGGGATGTTAAAGCCAATAAAGCAGAAACAGGGGAGGCTTAATTACAGATGTCAGGATTGCTCATTCTGATAAAATATGGTGTACACTTTTATGTTTAACAGATGCTCAATGAAAAAATTGACAACATGGGATGTCAATCTAATTTAAAGCATTAGATTAGCTCAAATAATAACAATGCATTTCCACATTCTTCTCAGAAGACAGACTGTAAGTCATAAATTGAAAGACAGGCACAAAGCATCACATTTTTAAATGACCTATCATTTAGGTCTAAAACTTTTAGCACTGTATGTTACCTTTGGAGAAAAGCTATACTGTATTTGAACCAGAATAAGTGTATATCAAAGCAAATAATATTACAGTAAATTAAGTTACAATAAGCATTATACTATACCGAATCTTAGAAGTAAAAATTTGCCTTTTGCAAATGCCATTCTGCATCACTTTTCAAGAGGAAAATACAAATAAAACAATACACAAAATTCAACATAGTTAAACTGAAAGCTAAGTAAGGTACATTTTAGGATCATCTCAGGATAGCTCATGAAAATATTACATCACCACTCAGCAATGGTCAAAATAAAGAATCATGTCAGAATCAAGAATACTGTTACCCCACTGCATAAATCTGTGACTTGTGTAACCTTAGAAAACTGTCTCCTACTGAAAAAGAAGAGATTGGTGCTGGAGACTGTTTACAGGAGAGTAATAAGGATGTTCCAGTTACAGAAACCACTGATTTCCTTTGAACTACTGACTTTTTTCACTTGGAAAAAACAAAATTTGGAAGTGAATTATAAATGTCTATAAATTATAAAATAAGTAACAAAGAGAATGAATCTGAAGAGTCCACAGTCTCCCTGAATATAAAGAGCTGAGTTTTTTGAAATGCAGCTTGAAGAAGCCATGTTCAAGGCAAACAAGAAGAGACAGTTCTTCATATAAAAAGTATCAGATCTCTTTGGCAAGGATACTCCCTGGCCAAAGAGTGCTCCAGATGCAAAGATTTACATGTGTCAAGGAGAGACCAGACATAATTTTAGAAGAGAGGACTGCTGAAGTTTACTAAATAAGCTAAATAAGTAATGTACATCAAATTTACAGTAATTTTAAAATACTATCTTGGGGAAACTGGAGTGCAGGGAGATTATGTTTTTCCAATGTTTATTATAATTTTTGGGGCAACTAGTTACATTTACTTCCTATACACAACAACCAGGCATCCAAAGTGTACAGAACCAGATGTTAACTTTTCCTAGTACACTACAGAAGAATGATGTCCACTTGTATCCAAATTACCTTCCATTCACTAAACGATGGAGACACTCAATTCCCATAGTTCATTATACCTTCTACTCAGAAAAGATTAATGGTATTTGAATGAGGTCTAATGAGAATATGAACAATTCAGTATATTATTTCTTAAGCATTAATAATTGATACTGTAATAGAGTTGTAACCTCAGCAAAATCATAATTTTGGTAAATCACTGGAGGAAACAATTTGAATATAAAATGGCTATAAAATAAACAATTGACTAAGTATTCTTTGATCAGGGAAGAGCTTCAAATGATGGAAACGGTGCCTGCAGGCCAGCAGGAGAAGCCGGTTGTCACCCCGAGCCGCCGGACACCGCGATGTCGCGGCCAGCAGCGACCCCTGGTGGCGAGCGGCGAGCAAAGCCAGAATTCCTGCGGCACATCCAGAGGTACCGGGCACAGACTGCAATAAAATGAACCCAAGAAAACCGCCTCATACTAAGTTAAGAATGCAGAAGTCTTAGCCAGATCGGTGGTGGAAAGAATATCGCAGACAGCCGCCTTCCAGCCTGCGTTTTGTCAGAACTGAAGGACAGGAAAGGTGAGAGGGAGAGCAGAACCATCGCTGGGCCGTGGAGTCATTGGGAGTTTGGGGCTGGAAAGAGCCTTAAAGATCATTTAGCTCCAACCCCACTGCCACGGGCAAGGACTGACCACGTTACATATCAATCGGGACAGAAATGGAATATACAGCTGCAAAAATGCAAAACAACAAAATAGTACTGGCCTCCACCAAAACATCACTTAAAAAGCAAATTCTTTTGTATGGCTATTGCTTTATAAAAACAAGGTAAATGTAGGACTTACAAATATCATTTCTAGATTTTCCTACTTGAATACATACACTATTATTTCATCAAAAATCCATATTCTCTTCAGAAACATCACATTCACTAAATGTGTGCCTTCTGTGCAACGAAGAGCACTACAGCTGCAGAAGAAAGATAATGAAAAATATGTTTTGTTATGTTTTATGCAAATATGATTTTTTTCCATTCATTTAAAACTGAGCTGCTTTCTTATCTTCCTAATGTGTCAGTCAATCCACTGGAGGGGGGGAAAATGCTTTTAAAACTGCAAACAACTTTATAAACCTGAACTGGAAGTCAATTACCTTATTCTCTAAGGTAGGAAAAAATTCTGTAGGTTTAAAAAAGCGATTTATCCCCACCACACAAAAGAAAGAATCTAATTTCTATTTATTGAAGAGTTTCATGAAAAGCCAAAGTAACAATCTGTTCCAGTAGTTTAAGTCATAAGATCAATTTCCAGCTAAATGACTAAACATCATCTACCATCTTCAAACTAAATCTTTTCCTTTGGGAGCACATGAGGAAAAAAACCAGAAGTACTGATGTGTTGAATATAATTTTCACAGTGCTCTTCATACAATCTAGAAAGTGATTTTGAAAGTATTTTTTGTTTATTCTGGTTTTGTTCATCTGATCATTTGAGTTGAGAATTAATACTTTAATATAATTTTTCAACCATCACAGCTCAGTGGTTGAAACCAGTCCTAGAGTCAGACCAGTTGTGCTGGAATGGCTCAGTCATTCCTCCTAGGCATTCTAATGTAGGTGTATCCATGTATCCCCACACTGCCCCTGCACAGCTCTGCAATATCCGTACTGGATGCAATTAATTCTCCCATCCTGCAAACAGTCTTGCTGAAAATGAGACCCAATGCCAGACAGATCCTGGTGAGGTGTCCATCTAAAGCAGCAGGGCAGCAAGCTGTGCCAGGACTCAGGCTCCTCCAGGAATGACACAGAAATCCTGATGCACATGAGCTGATGCTGTTCTTGAAATGCCCCTGGGTGCTGTTATTCGGCCCCTTGTTCTCCTCAGGCAGGAGTGGATCATCCAAGGGCCATCAGGCCATGGGATGTGCAGGACTGGTCTGAACAGGGGAGCCAGAAGGGCTGCAGGGCATGCCATGAGTGGGGGCACTGCTCCACAGCACCCTTGAACTGCTCAGCTCCAGATCCCACACTTGAGAGCAGCAAGGCTGGCACAGAAGATAAGGCCAGGTGTCACAGCATTGTCTGCTGGAAGCAGGGAAAGCTTTCCTAGTCTTCCATGGCTGAGAACAAGTACAGTCTCTGGTAGACACCACACAAGATTTGTCATCTTAAACAAAAACAGGTTTTGCTTCTCACTCTCTAAAAGAAGCAGGGACTTTCAGATCAGCTGGAGCTGACAATACCCACTGGGCTAGAGATTCTGAGACTCCATCCTAATGGCAGCAAGGTACCAAGCTCCAGTATCTCTGTTAGCAACTTCCAGAAAACTTGTCAGCTCTAATTCCTTCCAATTCACAAATGATGTATTGATGACCAGTTTGTCCCAATTTTTCTTCTACCATTGTTGCTATCACTGTAGTTAAAGACCTGGTCTGTCTATACACCCCATAAATGTTTACAAACAACACTCTTCCCTCCCAGCCTTGATTTTTCTTGTTTAAACAAACCATGCTCTGTTAGTGCCTTCTATAGCCCTGTCCATCCTAATGGTTCTCCCTCTGAGTCTGCTCCTATTTGTATTCATGAAACTGTATTAACAAAATATGAAGCATACTACTAATGTTTTCATATATTTAACTGAAATTTCTGTGACTGATCATCCTACCGGTGCACTTGGCACTTTGGAGTTTCCAGAGTATGTAAAATTATTAATGTTAATTTCATGTTCTAATTGAGATAGACAAGCAAGTTTTCTCCCATGCCACCTCCCACATTTTGATCCTAGACTATAAAATAAATTCTTAACACTCTTAGTCTCTAAACATATTAATTTACAATTTATACTGAATTAATTAAATTCCACATATTACTTGCAGACTTTCTTTGCAGAAATATTGGATATTTCTTTGGATATTCTAGTTCTGCTTCATATTTAAAGTACCTTCCACCTTTGTATTACCAGATTTCATTAGCAGCCTTATAGGTAGATTACAAAAATGATGTAACAATATCAGTCCCAAAATGAGCCTTTAAGGAGCATAATACCTTATGATACCTTTCCATACATGTTCAGCACACCCACTCACATTTCATGCTGAAGCAGCTGAGTTCCCCTTACTGTTTCCTTATGTATGCACTGCACTCTTCAGTTTCAATGATTTCCTGTCATCAAAAGCTGAGCTTCAAATAAAACATACTACATTTTCATGTCAATTTTCTTAGAGACTAGCTTTGTATGAACTACAGTGATAAATTCAGATTTCAGCTCTTTTGTTATTAATCACAATATATGTTTCATTATTTCTTCCCTCAAGTTATGGTCTAGAACTCTACACAGTGCCGAAATGAAGCTAACAGTTTTTGAGCGGCATAAATCACTTTCTTCCTAATCTTAAATGAAGCTGCTACAGATAATAAAGTAAATTTAGCATCTTGCCTTATCAGAGAGATCAGCACTATCTACTTCTTGTGTTGAGGACAGACTATTGCTTGGGATCATTATTTTAATCAAGTTCTATTTTACTGAATTTAAGTGTATGCTTTTTAAATAAATATTTGGGTCATAGATTTATTCTAAATGGATTACATTTTTCATTAAAACTCACAAATAGCAGGGGACTCCCTTCCTAAATCTCATTCTAATTAGACATAGAGAGCATTATCAACCCCTTTAATGCAGCCATTTAGAGAAACAAATCAAATAAATTCTGCTTAAATCGCTTTCACTAATTGTCAAGTGACACCATAAAGGTATTTAAAACTGGAGCTGCCTCTTCATTTACCTGTGATGTTCTTTCTCTTGCAATAAGAACATTTGATATTTCTCACACAATTTTCAGACACTAAATTTCTAATTCTGACAGCTATATTCTGTTTATAAATTGCACAGTCCTCCAAGGATGCTTGTCAAATTGTTAAATTTCAGCTGAAGATAAATCTGAAGAACATATCCAGTACATATGAAATAGCCATTCATTACAGGACAATTCTTTCCTACCTATTCTATAGATGTAAACTTTTCATAGACAATTCTCATGTCTATGATCAACATTTGAAAAAGAAAAACTACAAATACAGAGCACAGAAATAGGAATTTAACTTAAAACTGGGGGACAAAAAGATTCCTTGGATATGTGTCTTTATATTTACATGCAGTATAAATCCACATATATTTAACAGGACATTTCCCAGATTGTAAAACTGCAGTTTCTCCTTTCTGAACTGATACTTGTCCAGGAGATGACCTGAAAAGCAAAACTGATACAAAGAGGGCATTATGACAGGGCAGCATAATTATAAGAAACCTGCTTCTATTCTCTTTTTTCTTCCAAAAATAGCTCTGTCCAAAGCAAATGTTACATCACAGGTCCTCATCTCTGAAGACACAGACTTGTGTGCTACCTGTTCAAGAACATCCAGGCACAACAGGCCAAAATCTCAGATTTCAGACCTCCACATATCTGGCACAAGCTCTTCCCAGTGCTGCATTTCACCTGCTGCTCCCTGAGCCCCCATCTCAAACCTTCCCCAGCAGTTTCAATAAACCAGCACTGCAGAAGCACAGCTTTACTAAATCTCAGCATTGGGGAATAAGGCAGGCCAAACAAGAGAGTTTGACATCAAAGCCTTCCACTGAAAACTGGGAACAAACCCAAATCCAGTGAGTCCTTCCAGGATAACCTGAGATAGGCATTGACAGAGTTGTTCTGGCCATACTCAAGATGTTGTTAGAATAAATGCCATAGTACCAAGCAAGCAAAACACTGATTTTACACCACAGTAGTCATAGCTCCTTTTATACATTCATTGTTGACTCTTCTCCTTACAGAAAGGCTCATTTTCCCCTAGAGAGATGTTATAAAATTCAAGCTGCCTGAATTGCTAATGGACTTATTTCAAAGTTAATTAGTTTAATTTCAGAATCTGGTCTTGTGCTACATTTCTATCTGCTAGGAGCAGCTCTGTAGGGGGAACCAACTAACTATACATGTTCCAGAAATTGTATTGGAGTTTTAACTTTGGATTAAACAGTCTGTTTGGGGCTGGTGTGCATTATGTGCAACCCCAGAGCCCATTTTTGGTGTAATTCCTTATAAAAGGAATGCACTTCCTCTGTTCCCAAACCATCTCACAATGCAATCCAAAACATAATAAACATGAAGGATCACATTTGTTTTCAAGGTACCCTACTGATCCTATTAAAGTCTAATTTAAACACACCCTGTAATTCCTCTCTAATTTCCCCTTTTTCTTCCAGTGCTCATGTTCAATGATCAAAGTAGCAAAGTTTCTCTTAACTTTGAGAGAGCCTTCAACTCCTTTTTTTCCCCCCTGTCTACACCCAGGAGTCAGCAATGTTTTCAGCATTTTCAAAGACAGTCCACTTAACCCTCTTAAAAATGTGGAACTGTTTCTTCCAGTCATCCTGAATTTTTTTCACCTGTCACAGAAATTTTAAACTGTTTGGAAATCTCTCTGCTCCTTTATAGCCTGAAACAATCCAAGACATGGTGTTCCTGGTATCAAAGAGAATCTTCTAGCTGCAAATATTCAGCAAAAGCATCTTTCTGTAAAATTCTTAATAGGTCAGATTGTGCAAGAGCCACCACTTTGGTCTCAGCCATGTCCCCATTTCTCTTTTACACGCGCCTAGCAAAGAAAGGGAGAACGAGTCAATAGTTTTAAGGCATAGTTTTTTCCTCCCTGAATTAAATCCACAGCCTTTTATCAGCAGGCATTGACACATTCTGTTAGATAACATCAAGACTAACCAAAAGGAACAGTGTAATATGGTACAGAACTCACCAAGAAAATACTCCTTTGGGAAAAGTTCTCCTTTATGTTGGGTGAATATTTTAAATGAACCAGATTTTCTGTAAATACATTGTTCTTACACTAGCCACCTCAAAAATATTTAAGATTACTTGCATTATTAAAAATACCATGATTTTTAAAAAACAATGCATTTAACTAGTGCATGTTTTGTTAAAAGCAATGTCTGTTAAAAATTGTGTCAATTATTTGTCTTCAAAGTCTTAAAGTTTTTATCAAAGATTTATTCTGTATTTGTACAACCAGCAGCCAGCTACAAGTATCTACAAGAAGATTGTATTAAATTCCACAAGACACATCTAATAATCAGAGGACCCTACTTTTTACTCAAAGAAGTTTATTCCATCCCAAAGACTACCCCAAAAGGATTCTCCTTACACAGAATACTTGTTTTGCCCAGATGTCTCGTGCTCTTCAGAGCTGCTCCTTCAAAAATAACCACAAGATGTCACCATTGCAAAATAAAAACTCCATGCAGTAAAATAAATTCTGGTATTTCTATTCTGAATCAGGGGTTCTAATTATTATACATCCAAATCAATGCACTTCAATAATTTTTATTTTTTTTAATACAGGCATTAAAGTTACTCAAAAGAAGATAAAAAGAAAACAGCAATAAAAAATGAAACATGAAATTCTCTCCTAAAGCATACAAATCAAGACCCTTCAGCCACTTGGTCTGAATCACCATAACAAGAAAAACTTGTCAGGCAGCAAGAGAAAAATTTATGATTCCAGCATTGCAAATAATTTGCAGAGAAGATGGTGTCAGTGTAGAAACTACAGAGAATGCAGGTATAAATAAACCAAGAAATATAAATAAATATAAATAAATCAATGCTCAACTATGACAGAATTTTTTTAAAAAATTAGATCTATGTATATTCAGTGAAAATCTAAGGAATTGATGCAAATGATGCATGAAGCAAATTATCTCTACATGGTCTGTAGGAAAGAGGGAGGAGCTACACTATACTAGTAGGAGCTAGTGAGGAGTATTTACAGAAATGCTAAGTGAAAGGAAGGTACTGCCAGCAGTAGTCAGATTTTGAATTTTATTTTGTGCTTAAAAGTTCTAATTAAGTTCATAACACTGTATCTGAAGGTAGAGCCTAAAAAGCACTTCCAAAGATTTGTGACATCTGTGCACTCAGCAGTTTGACATTACAAGGAATCCATGCACAAATAAAAGGGCTTCTTTTGCTGTAAATACTGACAACTTCTGGCTAGAGATTAAGCCTTCAGGATCTTTTTGTGCACTACAGTCCTGGAAGATTTTAATGGAGTCAGTAATAAGTCTACACTATTCCCATTCAATGATCATATTGCTAAACCACTTCCCTTATGTGGGTGCACTGACTGCCTTTGAATGAACAACTCATTAATTATTAAGAAGTGAAATGTATTAAATCTCATCATGGCTGTGGAGTAATAGGTGTGACAGCTAATAGGAGTTAAAAAGTCATTTCCTTTGACATGCCAAAAGAAACAGCAGTAGAACAGAAGAGAGGCAGGAAGTCATGGGAAGAGGGCATATCAGCCAAGTAATCTGGAGGGATTTTAATATTTCTGTTAAGAGAATGGCAATTTCTAAGCATAGCAAGCTAAGCCAATTGAGACTTGTAACAGAAGTGGTAAACGATTAAAAAAATCCACAAGCATCTAGCATAATTATAGTAAGTAAATTAAACATTTTAAGATCTTAAATAATTTATCTGTAATGAAAAACAATGATTTATGGTACTGGGAGTAAAACTGCACTACATGCTTACAGTACATCCACTTGCCCCCACAGACACTCTTGTACAATTATAACAAAGTTCCTTTTTCATTGAGAGGCTGCTACAAGTAATACCTAAAAAAAACCAAACAGCGGATACTTTTCTTCAGGAAACATTAAAAATATGATGCAATGATGTGGCATATAAGGAGGGCAAGGGAGGAAATCAAATGACCTAGACACTAAACAAAGCAAGCCTTACCTTGCCAGCTGTCATTGCAAACACAGAGCTTCTCTCCTGTCAGGTCACAGTAGCCGTGATCCGGACTCCCACAGTTGGCTTTGCAGTAGGGAATGTCACAGGCCTCTCCCTTCCAGTACTTGTCACACTCACAGTACACCCGGCTCGGTACAGACACACTGGTTGTGCACTTGCCATGCTCTGAGCAGTTATTAGGGCAAGAGTTAATTCTGAAAAAAAAAAAAAAATACATAGATAAGGGAAATGATGACCCATGAGCTGATGACGATGGTTTCATCTGACAGCACTCTGCAGTATTTGTTAGAGAAAGTATGTTTTACCATGAAAAATTTCTATGTACTGATAAAACACAAGTTTAATGATGATTTTACAGGCAAAAGAGCTCAAAAGGTGTTGATCCAATCTTACATACAAAGTCTGTGATGCACTGAGGATCACAAATACCTTGTACTGCAACAAATACTGACATTAAGCAGAAGGACAGGCCCTGCTTGGACAGATCACTACCTATTTTTCTCCTGTATTCCAGTATAAGCACTCAGTCCATTCAAATGTTTGTTATTTCTAGAAACAACCACACTGGAAGTAATTGAGCTTAAACTCTCCACCAGAGGCATACACTTAAAGGGTTTCCCTGTGTAGCTTTGGTCCATATGATAAACAGTATGCCTAACACAAAGAGGGAAAAACAAATAAGGAAAAATACATGATGGGTAATATCCTGAAACTACTTACAGGTAGCACTTCATGCTTTGAATCCTTAATAAAAGAGCCACCTTAACTCTGCAGTCCATGATGTAAAAACAGGAGAGCCTGGGCTGAAAGAACTCTGTGACTGTTTTGAGAGTTAGCATTTCTGTGATACACCCTACCAAACACTGAGATCACAGGCAACTGGAGTACAAAATTAAGTAAAGTGGTTCCAGAAATGCAGGCAACTCCTTGAAATGAGGGAAGATGGAGGACATGGAAGTATGTGGGTCCAAGAGTTTCCATGAACTCAGGGAGTACATGCTTGAAGAAGTCCAAATAGGGTTTGAAACTTTTTCTGATGACTCACAGCAAACTCAAAATAAAGTGTTACTACAAACCTCTGATGATAATACAGACCACTCCCTGCAGATGTGAGAGATGAATACTGTTCACAGGCTTCCTTACTGAATGAAGCTCTAACTGAATGGAAAAAGAGCTGTTAAAAGTTAGCAAAGAATTTTTCAAGGCTGGCCTTTGGCAAGATGTAGCTGTGGTAGCACAGTGAGGAGACATGTTTTTGTCTTCTAGAGACTCAGTTCTCAAAGGACTGATTCTATTACACTGCTAAAATAAAAAAATTCCACATCTGACCATCATTCCAAATATCCTGAGAGTTTTACCTGGTAACACATTAACTGTATGCTACAGCTGTGAGGAACCTCTCCCTCAACCTCACTGGGAATGTTCTGCAGGAGGGTGAAGTTAAGTTTTCCATCAGGAGATATTAGTTGGAAAGTAGACCATTTCCCACTCCAAATGGTTCATTAAGGATTCGAACAAAATGAGAAAACTGGATCCACAGAATTGGAAGAAAGTTGCCTGACTCCAAGGAACAGAAAATTTACTCAAACTGTTCTGGAGTAATTACAGTTGCTTGCACTTCAGTCATACATTCTGTGTTTCTGTCTTCCCCAAAATAAAGGAATACAAGTGGTCCATCAAGGTGAAGTCAAAAATTATGGAAGAGGATAACAGAAGCAGAGTGCAATAGACCAGTGACAGAAGCAAAGTCAATACAGCCATAAAAAGTAATTGTAGGTACTTCTTTAAGATGTTATTGTTGTTTTATTAAAAAAATGTTTTAAAAGTATCCATTGCAATAAAAGACACAAAAGAACAGAGTTCTTCATGAGTTACATATGTAATGGAATTAAAAACTGACAAGTTTTTTCATTTTTTTTAAATCTACAAAAAAAGATTAGGTAATGATAGGCAGCATGCATCACATTACAAAGTAATGAAAGAATGCACATACACTCATTTCTTAAGAATGCCAAATCTTATTGCCATTTGCTCCCAAGACAAATTAAAAAAGTGTAATAAAAGCTTCAGGGATAACTGAAAAATGTAACTAATTACAATAGAAACTCTGCCAGGTGATTGAATTTTACTGATGTCAACTGACAAAAATTAAGAATACCCAGAATTCTAGGTTGCCATTTCCAATGCAATATATATAGTGAGATTTCCCAAACTGTGAATAGCTCTTTATTATCTGGTCAAAGGTGGGCAATCTGCTGCAAATTACAACAATAATCTTCCCACAGACAATGTACCAAGTACTGTGCCAAGAGCAAAGCTATGGTCAAAAACACAAATAGGAATTTTTAACTAATGAAGAACGTGACAAAAATATTACATGGATTTCAACACAAGAAATGCAGGGCTGGCCACCACATCCCATAACTGCTATTTCAGAATTTGAAGGGATTGAAAGGAACAGACATATCTTCAATCATGGAAAAACTGTCACATGAAGGAACAGGTCCAACAGGAGCAAGCAATTCCCTCTTGAACCAAGGCATGCAATATGAAAAGATGTTGCAGGTGTCACATGCACATCCCAAGTGAGACAGAAGTTGCAAACAAATGGTGCATATATAAAGGAAAAAGCTCAGGTCTGCTGGATGCATCTTCAGAGCTGCTGACACAGGAAAGAAGACTGGACAAAAGCAATCATGGTCATATCAGATTAGACTTTGCCATCACAGAAACTAAAAGACATAGTGCAGATAAGATCTATGAAGGCAGAGAGTAGACTGAGATGGAAATGGGAGGGAAAATACCCAAGAAGAGGAAATTTAATAATATCTTTGTGGCTGGCACAAAAATTCCAAGTGGAATTGCTTGGAAGGTTTCAAAAGCCATAGTATATTCAGCAAGAAAAATCAAGCAACAGATGATCCCAGTTCAAGAGAAGGGAATTTGTATGACAGCAGATATAATCTCCCTTCCAGTCCATATGACAGCTATATGTGTTGGATAAACACTAGAGGGGATACATTCTAGTTCCATATGGCACAGGAAAAACATACTCTGGGAATGGCCATGTGACTTCACTCAAAAAAACCATACCCATACAAAAAAAACCAAACTCTAGGCGGTTTTTTCCCCTAACTCACACCTTTATCATTTATAACAAGCCCAGCCTTCCTGGTTTTAGACACTCACCACTGAGAATGACTCTTATGCTATTGAAAAAAACAAGTAATTATTTAGTATGAAAATACTTACGAATAAAAAATGTTAAAACCTGTCAGGTTATAAGCAGCATCACTAAAAAAGTGTAGCAATGCATAGCCAGATGTAGTAACCACTTCAGGAACTGTTTCATTTCCACGCACTTCAGGGACTATTAGACCACTGGAAAAGAGAAGGAAAAAAATGTTTTTAAGCCATCTTTGACGCATTTAGGAGAAAAAAATAGGAAAGAGGGAGTTCTATATTCTTCTTATTAACTGTACAAACAAGATGAGTCAAATATAATTTTAAAACCTTTTTTTTTAAAGAAAAAGTTATACAAGGTATATAAAACTTACATTCCATACAATGTCAGCAGAAAGTATCCAAATAATTGGATATGCTATGATTATCTAACCAAAACTGTAACATTTTGGAATGCATTCTAATACAATTTTACATACACATTCCCAATAATATTAAGATAAGAAAGCAAGCTAATTAACATTAAAGCCTCTAATGCTACTTTTTTCCCCAATAATTGAAAATGTTCATACATGACTACATGGACAGAAAGATTAGTAAATACACTCACCTAAACACAGCTATTAAAGGTGCATATATTGAATCTCCATCATATACATACATATGGTCCCAGCTACATTCTGTGGCAAAGTGATTAAATCTTAGTCTTAGTATCGCATTTGGGCTGAAAAAGAGCATTGATGTAACACATTATTTACAGAATTACTGAGATCATAAGATCAAGAACTCACATAGAATTGATCATGCCAATATAACTCTGTTAAAACATTTTTTTGAGTAGTAAGTAAATATTTCAGTGTGTTAAATAACAAAAGCCACGGCAAGCAAATATTTCCCCTTATCTTAGAAAATTTAAAAACAACATATTCAGTCCACAGCTAATAATCCCTAAAGTTAATAAGAGGCTTAGATTCACCAGATTTTATCGTGTTGAGAACAACAAATTTAGAGCAATTAAAATATCTCATTTTAATACACTAAATTTACTTTACAATGTCAGGGCTATGAACTTCAATGTATCTTTCAAGATAAAAATCACCTGCACATCATCTTTCCAGTATTACACTAATTCTTGAAACTAAAAATCTTAAAACACAAATCTAAAATTGAAACCATTATCAGTGCAAGCGCCTGCCTCCTCCCTTCTCCCAACACATGGGAAATGTCACCAGATTTTGGCTGAGGTCCAAACAGACCTGTAAATTTTCTGATATTTTTTTCACATATTGCAGAATTACCGGACATTTTTATTTTTTTATATATTTATTTATTTATTTATTTGTTTTTCCATGAAACATAATGATTATTTTCTTGTAGTTCTCCTCATCACTGACAGGCTTGGGTGCAATTTGTCAGTTTGGAAAACATGGGGTTTTGTGGCAGATCCTTTGGAGAGAGCTCTTTGTTCATTTTTTTAAGACAGAGTATTATAGACATATGTGACTTCCTTGTGTGCTGACATTTGGCACTGGTTGTTTTACTCCTCCCCAGACTGTGCAGCACATCGATTCCTCCAGCTGCCCACTCTGCCATCTCCTGAGAACAGGAGGAGTGGAGTGGGGAACAGCTTCAAAGCAGAGTTTGACTACAGTGCTAAGGCATGTTGCCACTTTAGTGCGCTGCAAATGTTCCTGAGCTAGCCTGCCTGAGAAAAAAGAGAAGTCTAGCTAGTTCAGACACATATTCAGCTATAGCCTGGTCTTCTAGATAATAAAGATTCAATTTAAATGATTTTACAAACACCGTAATTTCACTGCTGCTTTGTTTAAATTACTGTCTGCATGTATGCAGACCAAAGTTAGATCAGACCCATCATTTCTGAAATGCAGCAGTACAGCAGATATCCAAGGTAAATTGAGATTATGGCAACATGGAAATACAGAAGGAGCTAATTTTCTTCTAGAATGTTAGCAGAAGTGTGAACTAGAGTCAGCAAAATCCTGACCCATATCCTGGGAGGTGGGGGGAATCCTCCTGAAATGTAACCAATTTGTGCCATCAACACTTAGCCACGCTAATTTATGTCTCTCATTATTTCTTCAGACATGTCTGTGCGTTTCTGTACTGCATAAACTGAAAAATCAGCAACAGGCACGAGGTATCTAAAATGTAGGCATAAAACTATTCCAAAACTAAGTACATGAGCAAATGTAGAATGCAAAACAAAACACTTTATAGAAGCACTAACTTTTGAGAAACATAACTGAAGAAGCATTCTGTACTTGAGGCTATTCCTAATTTATCACTAATATGAGTTAAATAAGGTAAGTCAGGTAATAAGTTAAATAAAGGGATTCTGTAACTGCTTTTGGAACTTATCTAAAGGTACTCAAATACACAACAAATTTATCACTGGGTTTTGAGGACCTGCAGCACTGGCCAAATACCGATGTCAGCCTAATTTTTGCCAGCAATTTGAGTGGGAATGGAATTTGGCCAACTCTAAGCAATCCTGTAAATGCTAATACCTTTTTTTTTTAATTAAAACAAAACCAAAATAAACTAACAAAACACAAAACTGTTCATATTGTATCCTCATGCAGTCTCTATGTGAGGAGTTCTTTTGATCTCTAGAACACACAGTACCAAACTGTTCAGAAAAGTTAAGCTATGAAAATAGATACTTACTATCCTTCAATTAACCATGTGCATTTAGTTTTATATTTATAATTTATAGGTCCATCTGTTAAATATCCAGAAGGTTCTGTTAACCTACAAGAGGAAAAATAGGGCTGTAATAAACCAGAGACAACAGAAAATGAATCATTGACATGCCAATAGAATCTTTCTTGATGGAAAGAAAGTTGGGGGTAGGGTAAAACAGTCAAGTCTCTCTTCATATTTCTCATCACGCTATTTGTGCTCATAAAAACTTGAATTCTGATTGTTCTATACCATTGATTTGCTTTCTTCCCCCAGGCATTCACTTGTATTTTTTCTAGTTCAGTAGCAAATAATTTAAATTATCCTTCACACGAAATGGATCCAAGCCAATGTAAGGAGGGGGTTGTTTAAGAGCATTTTGGTTTGTTTTGCTTATTTGCTTTGCCATTGCCTTATAACTTGCTTGTGAAATTAGACAACAGCAGCCATACGAAAACTCTCCTAGATCAGGACAAATGAAGATATAACTTTGAATAAGCACATCTGTCAGCCTGCTGCTCTGTTATTCCTAGTCACTACCCTGTCTCTGCACAGTGGTCTCCAGTGATTATCCAGGAAGGAGTAAATCCCTGCAGATTTTCCACACAGCATTACACCACTTTCAATGACTTGCAGCTCAGGGACACTTCCAGTCCACAGCTGTGCCTTTGAGTTCCTGCTTTATACCACTCAAAATGTAATGATCTGTGTTTTATTTCCCTTCTTTCCCACCTCTGCCCCTTTTCCAACCTGAGAAATCCTTGCTCAATGCTTTTAATAAATCTTATGTATTCTCCTAGAGCCTGCTGAGATGCAAGAGAGATCAGCATATTGTATTCAAGATGCAAGTGAACCATGAATCTGTACAGCAGCAACAGTATTTCCATTTTATTCTCTATTTCCATTTAAGGTTTTATTTGCTCTTTCAATAACTACTATTCTGACATTTGAAACAGAAATATCTGCTGTAACATTTTTTTGAGTGATAACAGCTCAATATTCATCACGTACAGAAATTCCCTTTGTGTAGAAAGGGAACCTTTTCTATCCATTCATATATATTACTTTGTATTAATCTATGCAGTGATAAAACAGAAGATGAAATTCAATAATCTATTAACATAAAAGCTTTCTGAAAAAGCCTGGTACCTTCAGCACTTTGTATCTTCACTAATCCATTCTATTTTCTGCATCCTTTATGATTATGTTCAGGCCTTAACACACATCTCCAGTGCCCTTACTCCACTGGGGAAACAGACCATTCCACTCTTTAATAACAAATAAATATAAATACATCCTCAGAACAGCTCATTTCTTTCACTATATTGTTGAAAGAGAATCATTAAGAATAGGCATCACTAAATAAGAAAAGCTTTGTTTGTCTGTTTTGTGTGGTTGTTTTTTATTATAAAAGGCAGTAATACATCCAATCAAAATAATTTCAGTGCTGTCCTATGATTTATATACAGAAGTAAAGTCTTATTTAGCAATCCAAAGAAGATATATTTTCCTGGAAGAAGTGTGAAATCTTAAAAGTAGTCATTTGCAATCATGACCATTGCCTTCTTAGAAGTTGTACAGTGCAATGGAGGTGACTTATAAGAGTTGATTTTATTAGATCAGCCCTTCGGTACCAGTAAAGTACAAACAATTTCCCTTGTCTCCTAGGATGATAATTTTTTGATAAGTAGTTTCTTTTGGAAGAGTAGATAGCCTTTGAAACAGCCATTTCATTTTGTTGAAAAAAAAAGGTAAATAAATAAGAACTTGAGATTACTTTGCAATAATGTTTGTAGAAAATGGTAAGATAAAGGCTAGTTCTATTTAAAATAAATACATAGCAAGACAGATGGAAATTACTTTAAGTTTCTTGAGTCATACCAAGAACTTTTCTGTATTATTTTTCTTTCCAAGTGTTACCAAATACCAAACCCCATAATTCACAAAGATAAGCAGTACCACTCTCAGGCAATCCCTTGCCCAATCAAGGGCAATATTCTCTTTCATATAAAGCCAGGTATTCATCACCAGTTTTCCTCTGTGACTAACAGTGATTCTGTCAAATAACCACAATCCAGGTGAGTCATCCTGACTCTGCACTCAGTCACGGAGGTGCCTGCACTGTAGCCCACTGAGAAAGCCCCAGTGATGAGAGGAAGCCAGAACAATTTGTGTGGCCTGCCCAGGCACCACGGGTTTATCATACCCAGACTCCAACAGAACACACAGGGGAGTAGCTGATGCTCTGTACTGTCATTTGAAATTGCACATCAGCTTTCATACTATTTTCAACAATATTTTTTCATAGTTGGCAGGGTTATAATCAAAGAGGTGCATGCCAAGAGAACATTTCCCATCTCAGCATACTGTAAAACAGATCTACCAAATGACAGAAAGACATCAGGATGCTGCACGTCTAAAGGCATTCAGAAACACCAATGACAGACCAGTCACTCACCAAGACAATCAGTCAGCAACAGATTCCATGAAAGATGAGTGACACTACAGGGTTTCACCTAGCAGACACATTCACCAGAAATGCAAGGGCTAGAGCCAACACAGGGCAGCCAAAATGTGCAATAAAGAGATATCTACATTCACCTGGAATATTTACCACTGCTATAAAATAATGGTAAATACAGCTGAGTTCAAATGTACCGTGGCAATATTTACCACCGCAGAGACTTTAAACCAAGACTGATGCATTTCAAGAAAAAAAGTACATTCTAGTTCAGTCAGAAATTATTGGTCCAAAGTGAAGGAGTAGTCAGATGAAATCTACACCCTGCAATACATAAGATGCCAGAGCAGGTTATTAAAATGGCCTTTCCTGCTGCAATATTTATAGATATGTGAAAAATGCAGTCTTGTCATCTCTCCTGTATCTTCCTGCAAAAAATAATACCACCAAATCTTTCAGAGAGGGCCACTAATTTAAACCAGAAAAGTCATTGGCTATTTTCTGTCATCAGCAGAACACAAAGATCCACAAAACTTTGCAATTCCTATTTCAGATGTATTTGAATATACAATATTTTCTTCACAGATCCATGTCAGTATCAGTGCTAGTGTGTCAGTCAAGAGCTATTCTCTCCACTGCTGAAAAATTTTGCTCCATTTTCTTTTCATCTTTTATGAAAATGTTTTATTGAAAAGAAATAAAAATCAATAACTGCACTTCAAAGTTTCAAGATCAAGTTCTTCATAAATAGAAGTACTAGCAACCTTTCTAGCTGAGACCTTGTGCCTAACATTTACAGCAGGGAAAGAGACTGCACAGATCTGAGATCAGCTGAATATATTAATAAAGATGGGGAAAAAAATTCAGACCACCTGACAGCACAAGCCTGAATCAGCGAGAAAGAAATGTAGAAGTGATCAAGAGGCCATTTCTCATACCACAATGTTGAGTGACAGACTAAGAAGCTATTCCAGTATTTTTTTCAAAAGAATATCTGAAAAAACAGTATGTTCTGAAAAACCCACAAAGGCAGATTTTTCTTTTCCAGGCATAAAGCATTGACTAGCGCCTGACAAAAATTCAAAGAATTTGCATTTGATTTTCCTGTGTTTTTTCATTTATTGTATAACTTGGAGTTGGTTATTTTTTTTTCACATATGAAAACAGGATATACTGAACATGCTGTAGCTCTAATTTTTCTTCAGTGACTTATCAAGAGGAATAAATATTTAATACATTAAGGAAATATTTGCATATGCCAATCACACTCCTCTACTTGTTACATACTGCTTTGCAGTAATAGAAGAAATTATATTTAGAAACAAAAATGACATTCACGACAACTTCTCACATGCCAAGTAATCACAGGCGGGCTCTTAAATGGGTTTCAGTTTTTTCATTGACAAAGCAGCAGTTCCTGTTGCAAAGTGCAAACCCTAGTGATTAATTCAGTTCATTCTGAGTTCATCTTCCTAAATTATTTTAAACAAAACCATGCTCCAACACAATCCAAAAATCCTAGAAAAGTAAAGTCAAGATTAGAATGCATAAACAATTTTTCCCCATGAGGATATATCCTGTATTTCAAGAAGCTTAATACATGCATTTAAAAAAACCAAACTAAATTATCTGGGATATAAACGCTGAAAAACATTAATTTAACGTTTATTCTGGCAGGTGTTTTGTTTCTGAAAAAGGTTGTTGTTCTATAGCACTTTTTTTGCAATAGTCCCCAAAAAAACTGAAAGGATTCTGCATAGAATTATAGTTTTAAAATAATAGTTTTCAAAGTCCAAACTTATATGGCATCTTATGCAATGTATTTTCACTTACAGAAATTAAATCTGTTCTCTTGCTTAGGCTGCACATTATATAAATTCACAGAATACAGACCAGGACAGGTTGTTTAGAATAGGATATCTGAATGTGTGACTTCGAGGGAATCTATAAAGTGACTTGAAATATTGGCACAGTTTTACAAAGACCTGGTAAACAAACCAGATGCAGAAGATAAGAGTAGCATTATAATCTTAAATGTAATATTTATTCTATTTTAAAATAAAATGTGAAATTAAATGTGAAATAAAATGTAAAACATTAACTACTCAAGAATTTTCTTCTACCTCCTCACAAAGTGGTATTTGACTGGTTTTTTTACCAAAAACTCCTTAAATTGCCATTTCAGTCACAACATGCCGCAACTACACTGAAATCTCTTTTTCAGTTATTTGTCTACTCTCATCTTAATTCCAACAACAGAAGTTTACCATCTTCTTAGGCAATCTATTTCAGTAATGACTTATTATTAGAAAGTATTTCCAAGTGTCTAATTCACTTTTTTTTCTTACTTACACATATTTCCTGAATGCAGATCTGAAAATCAGGTAACATTCTTCCTTTTTCTCTACTCATCCTTTACAATCATCTCCCTTCATCCTTTTCTAAATAAAGCAACTGAATCTAGCAATCCTCATGAGTCATTTTCTACACTTCCTTCTTCTAGAACTTTTCCAAGTCATCTGTACCTCAAAATGGTACCTACTTCTCCAGCTGTAGTCTGACCAGCACAGCAACCGGAGAATTACTTAACATACATAATGTGGCCAGC